CGCTCTCCCAGGGGTGGGTCCTTCCCTCAGACCCCACGGCCCCAATAGGCAGGGTGGGAGGCTCACCCACCCTCAGAACCACAGGTCGCCTGCAGAGGGCAGCATGGACGGCCCAGGGCCAATCCAGCAGCCACCGCTCCCCGGTCATGGGTGGCACCAGGCCCCGTCCTCGGTGGTGGGACTGCTGTGTGCACCTGGGCTGGGGCCCCAGTGGAGGAAGCTGGCAGCCGCCATGGGGTCACACAGCATCGGCATCCCCACCTCCCGTGGGGGCTTGGGCACAGTGCCCATCCTCTGGCATGGCTCACCCCTGGAGCGGGGCTCACTCAGGAAGGTGCCTGTTTGACGGTGCTGGTTCAGGACTGAGCTGGGGTGCAGATGAAGGCCCTCTCCCATCCCCCAGTGTGGCAGCCGCCGGAGGGGCGGCCTGAGGGCAGGCCTCGCTCACCTGGCGCTGCATCAGGTGCAGGGGTAGGGCCGTGCGGCGGGGGACGGAAGGGGACAGTGGCACTTCCTCCTGGCTGTCCTGCCGACGCAGGCACTCAAAGCTGAAGGAGGGTCTCCGGGGTGCTGAGAAGCAGAGCATGCGGTGCTTCTGTGAGACCCTGTCTGCTGGCCTGGGAGCCGAGCGCCCACCAGACAGCAGGGAGCCCGGGCGGAGTAAGTAGCCCTACTGGGAGCATTTGCAGAAGTACAGGCTGGCGTCCTCTGTGCCACACCTGTTGTCCGGCAGCCACTCTACTTGGAAGCCCGAGGCCCACACGGTAGGGGCACCGCATTCAGGGTCATGTGCATGCCACCCAGCTTCCCACCCAGCTTCCCAGAGGTGCTGACCGCCCTCCTCACCTTCCAGACGCCCTAGAGGCACAGCCTGCTGGGCGGCCTCCTGGGTTGCACACTGCTCTAAAGGGAGCGGCCTTCCACCACCCTGTCCACTCCCCCAGGACACACGCAAGTTCTTTTGTGGGGAAGGACCCCGCCTCTCTAGCACTGAAGAAAGATCAAGGCCACCTCTACCTTTCAAGACAGTAGTCCTGTTAACAGCCCTTTGAATAGAGGTTTCCACACAGGCTGAGCCATGACAGCCACCGGACAACAGCTTCTGGGCCTTCCCCACAGCCAGTCAGGCAGCAGCCCTGCCGCTCAGCAGTGCCTTGCTAGGCCTCTGCTTTCTAAGCTCAGTGGGCACTCCTCGCGGCCCAGAGAACCCCGCACACCCCTAAGTCCTGAGCTGGGACCCTCAGGGCCCTCCCTAGCATCCTGGGGCTGCATTAAGGGGCGCAAGGACCAGGCTGAGCCTGTGGCTGGCCACTGCCCCACAGGGAAAATAAGACAGACACCAGCCCTGGCTTCACAGGCCCGGCACTGTGGGGCCACTGCTCGATGGCTGCTGTCCTCCCCAGACAGCCTTCCCTCCACCCCACACAGGGCACGGCCCCCTTGTCAGCACGGCCTCTAGGACCCTCCAGGGCAGATGGCAGGGCCAGAGCCCTGGGGCCAGGAAAGGGAGACTGCCCCCCCTCATGCAGACGGTGCCTCTGGGCATTAAAAAGGGGCTTGTGTCCAGCCATCGCCCCGGGGGCTCCGCACACCTCCCCTGGAGGGGAAAGCACCCCACCGACAATGCAGTGAGCCCCACCTTCTGCCTTCCCGGCGGCTGAACCCATGGGCAGCAAAGCGAGTCAGAGCTGTTTTCGCTGCCTGCCCTGGTGAGGGGGCCACTGCTGGCACCATGCAGGCTCCTGGCCTCCCAGGCACCCACGCGTGGTGGGCATTAATGGGCCCAGGGAGCAAAGGAAGCCAGCTGTCAGGTCTCACCACCCTGCAGCCCCGGCATTGATGGGGTCCAGAAATGCTCTGGGTAGCAACGTGTGTTTGGGCCTGCAGGATTCAATATTAACCATGGAAACTGCCTGGTTACCCTCCGGGCGTCGCCCAGCCATGCTTGTTACCATGTGATGCGTGGCATGGGCAGACTCGGAGCCCATGTGTCTTGGCTATTTGGGTCACTGATTAGAGTCCTGCTCAAAAATATGCTTCACTCCTCAGAAATGCCAGAAACGGACTGTCAGGGCTCATGAAAATGCCCACGTGTCTGAAATCAAACCGCCTGGCCAGGAGCTGGCAGGGGCCGCACCGGCATTGCTTTCCCCGCCCGAGCCCCTCGCACAGGGTGACCCAGACCTGCCAGCAGTGCCAGTAACTCCGGCTGCACACAAAAACCAGGTGGGAGCGGCTGGTGCAGCCCCTCCCCAGCAGGATGGGGGCACCCACCCCTGGGGTCACCACCAAGGCCCCATACCACCTGCCCCACCAGCTGGCAGACCTGAGGCAGAGACGGGGGAGAGGAGGGTGGAGCGTGGGAAGGACGGTGCCCTGGAGGGACCTTGGAGAGATGGATGCCAAGGGCCAGGTGCCCTCAGAGGCGTGGGGCTGGTAAGCCAGGCCTGGGCTGCAGTCCAGCTCTGCCCTTGAGCCCATCCTTCTTTTCTGAGGGTGGGTTACCCACACACAGAGTGGGCCTGACAGCACCACCATGCAGTCCTGCCTACCTCTTGGCAAGGAGCCTGGGCTCAAAGACAAGGATAAGGTGCACAAAAAGCCCCTTATCAGATGCTGTGTGCTGTGCAACTTTAGGGCCATGAACTGCCTCTCTGTTGTCAGAGCAGTTTGAGCTCTATCACATGGGATGTGCGTGAGAAGAAAGGACAGCCCACAGGGTCTCCACCCAAGGGCTGGTCTCCAGGACTAAGAGACCCTGACCCCTATCACATCCCCTGGGGCTGGGGTGGGGGAGGCACCCTGTTCTCTGGGAAGCATCACCCAAAACAAAAAACCTGGCCTCACATGTCGGGGTGGGAGGTAGGAGGCGTCTCCTTGGAGATCTCCGGGAATCGTAGCAGACGGGCCAGTCCTCCTCTTCCAAGAAGCCCTGAGGGTGATGATAGCCTTGGGGCCACCCAGGGTCCACGCTGCTGCCCGGGTACCGGCTGTAGGAGCCAGAGCACTGCCTGCTGGTTGCAGAGGCCAAAAGCACAGGTGCGTGAAAGCCCGGCTCACCCGGCCAGACCCACACCTGCTGCCCTCTCCCCGCTCCTCCTGGACGCCATGGGACTAGCTGAGAACAAGGCGTCCTCTGCTTCATGGAAGATTCTAGATGCAGGGCAAGGAAGACTCAGGCCAGCAGGCCCACGATGAGTGAGATGCTAGGGGTTCCCTCCCCTGGCAGTCTCAGAATGAGGTCAAATGTGGACTGCAGGTACCCTGCGAGTGCAGCTGTTACCTGCTCACTTCGTCCTCGGGAACCCCTCCTGAGTGCCTGTCCTCCACCCAGCACCAGGCTGGGCCCTGCGGACATGCGGACACATGAAGCCCACCCCCCACCCAGAGATCAGCCCAGACCACGCAGACATCCAGTGCAGGCAGGGGGAGGGGAGCTTGGGACAGGGGTCTGGAGAGGACCTCTGCTGAGTGCCACTCTGACCTCCTGTCCCCCAGCTCCAGGGAAGCCCCTGACTGGAGGCGGCAGGGGGTGCCCATTTAGACCCCACCTGAGCTGCACTGGCCAGGATGCCAGCTCTCACATCGGGATTCCGGGCAGCCTCGAGTGCAGCTGCGGGGGCCCCTGGGCCCCACGGCAGGCAGAGCACAGAGCCAAGAACCACAGGCCTCCTCCCGTCAGTACAGGCCGCAGAGCTGCTCACCTGCTTCCACCTGGCGAGCTGCCATCCTCACAGAGCTCCTCTCCGCTGGAACACTCCTGCCCCCCCCAGCAGTGGGGGTCCCCGAAGTAGCTGTGTATCTCCAGGTCTTCCCGGCAAATAGTTGGAAACTGCTCATCTCCTGAGTCGGACCTGCAGTTGGGAGAGAGGGCCTGAGCACCTGGCAGGTGGCCCCACAGCCGAGCCTCAGCCCCAGGCCAGCACCCCTGCCCATCGCCCCTGGCTTCTCCCTGGGCACCCCTGACCCAGCAGGACCAGGCTGCACGGCCGCTGGCCATGGCGCATGTGCACTCAGATCTCTCATGACGCTGGTGCCAAACCACTCTGCCCAGGGGCCTTGGAGCCCAGACAGATACCATCTGGGGAACCGGGCAGGAAACACTCCTAGAGACCCGTGTGAGCGGCAGTCCCGGGGAGGAGCCTCTAGGCGCCAGGGCCATCCACTAGGACCCCCACGCCTCCCAGCCCAGCCCAGCGTGACTTCAGGGCTCGGAACCAAGAGGCCCCCGCACCAGCACCTCCCACTGCATCCCACCCACAGCGACAGGGGAGATGCTCGCAGAGGACGTNGCTAACTCCTGCTACACCCTTCTCCCATGTTCTGTCACTCTCTGCAACCCAGCTCCTGGTCAGACTTGAGAGAAGTGGTTCTTTCCCAGGCCTCCCTCAAAGAACAGGGTGCTGTGCCCAGAGGCTGGGTGCCCTCCCCTCAGGCTGCAGCCGTCACAGTCAGGGGGCGTCCGGCACCCCTGCTCAGAGGGGAAGGCTGCCTGCGGGAAGAGACCCAGGGTCCTCCTTCCTCACCTCACTCCCAGAGACAGATGGGCCCGCTGAGCGGGGCCCCACCTCCCTGGCACTCTAGTTCTTAATGAACGTGATCGGCCCAGCAAGAGGACTTCCAGACGGTGTTCAGGGAGAGAAGAGTGTGGAGGTCTCCCCACAGCCCCAGGCTCCGTGATTCGCATTCTAGAGGTGCAGAGTACATCTCACAGAGCCGACGGCCGCTGCGTGCCAGAGCGGCCGGGCCGAGGACGCTCTCCCCTTGGCCCGCGGAGGCGACTGGGACTGGGCCAGGCTGGCTAATTCTTATTCTCTAGACGTCCACAGGAACAGACCACGATGGAACCGAGACACACAAGGCGGCCAAGTAAAACCGCACCCCGCTCCCGGAAAAATGCAACCGAGTGAAAGAAAATCAAATTGGCCAAAAAAAGGAGCATTTAAAACAGCTGTTTGACCCTTAAACTTGTTACAATGCAATAATGAGGTCCACTACTTTTTGAACCGAGATGCCTTAGACAGACTGTTCTGATGACGTAATGATTTCTGAAAAGATACCCAAAACCACTGTGGATGGCAGGGGAGAAAACTGAGGCATCCCAGGCTTCCCCCGGGAGGCCCGGCAGCCACACTTGTTTCTGAGAAAGACCTTCCAGAAAGGCGGAGAGAAGAAAACCATCTCTCTCATCTCTCCTCCCTTACAAACCTTAAGCGGCCCTTGTTTAATCTTACCTGTATCTTGCTTTATTTTTCGGTTCCAAAGGAAGGTCAAGAAAGAAAATTCTCAGTCTGTCGAGAGATTTCGTCCGAGAGGTTCCCCACCAGCACTGTTGGGTCTCGGAGCTGCCTGCAGGGGAGGGACGGCAGTGCCAGCCCACAGCTCTGAGGGCCCGGAAGTAGCGAGTCCGGTGTCCTGGGGTCATGTCTGTGGCTGAGGCTGGCCTTTACCCCAAAGTCCAGATTCCAACATGTACGTGGGAGAGACGGGATGCAGGGCCGCCTTCTGGCCAGGCCTCTTATTTATTAGCATCGCTGTAGGGCTTTGAGTCGCCCTTTTGGCTGTGTGGAGGCACAGTTTGGGTAGGTTTCTGCTCTGGCCCCTGTGCGACACCTCGTGGGCAGTGCCCCATGCCCACCTGCCGCACTCTGTGCCTTGGAAACGCTTAGCCTCTGCTTTGGGCTGTCCGCTTCGCTCTCCGCCTCCCCAGCAGCAGTTACTCTTTGAGTTTTCCAAATCGAGGAGCATCTGTACCAAGGCAACGAACCTTTTGATTTTTGATCTGTTTTAAGCTCTATTGTCACCAATAAAATCTTAATAGTCAAAAAAAAGATATTTCTCCCCTATTGGGGCTTATGGCGGATGAGAATGGATGTGTTCGTGCTGGCCTGCTCAGATGTGGGCATGGTGGGCAACCCGGCCACTCGGGTCTGCTGCGGCCGCGCTGCGTTCTCAGCCTCTGGGACACTGGCTGATTGGCCACTTGCCTGTGTTGTTAGGTGAGCAAAATGTTGTGTGCTAAGAGGAGCCCATTCGGCCCCTCTGCCCCACTTGCTTCCTGGGCCTCGTTCCGTGCAATCACACGATTTGGCCGTGCACTCACACGATTTGGCCGTGCACAGAAATCCATTTCAAAGGAGAAGACCATGAGTGGCAGACACCCAGGAGCCACCGAACCGCAGCTCCATGCCAGGGTGCAGACCCAGGACAGAAGACTCTGATTTGGAGCGGCTCCTCCCTCGAGCCCTGACGGGCTAGGGGCCACTGGCTGGGCAGAGTAACGCGGC